CATACATGATACCCTTTTAATTCACTTTCTTTTCTTCCAATAGCTGCTGGTAAATCTACTTTTGTCTGCCTTCTCAATAAGTGCAATGAGGACTGGGAGGTTGTCCCTGAACCTATAGCAAGATGGTGCAACGTTCAAAGCTCTCAAGATGAATTCCAGGTATTTTTATGTGTACATACACTAGAGGTGCACTGAAATAGAAATTTTGAAAACGAAACCGAAATTAAAAAAAATGTTAGGCCGAAACCGAAAATGTTTTTATTTTTTTCAATTATTTAATTTTTTATAAACTTTTTTTTAATTCATTTTTTTATTAAATATTTTTATTTTTTACTTTACTTTTAGGGGCTTCAGGGAAATATTAGGGGTCTAAAACAGACCCCTGATATTTCCCATTTAAAATTGAAAAAGAGATTGAGGACACAAAGTCCTCAATCTCTTTTTCTGCAGCCTGTGTTATAAATTAACAGGAAGCCTCTATGAGTGTTCCTGTTCATTGATAACATGAAGACATTGTGTGTTTACTATAACCTCAACTATGAATGAACAGGAGGTGATACAGATCACTTCCCATCCATTCATAATTGAGGATATAGACAACATACCATGTCCTCAATTATGTACAAACACTCAGCGATCACTGATCGCTGAGTGTTTGCACTCACTCTCCTCTCTGACAGCTGTCACAGGAGGCTGAGACAGCGGAGCAGGGAGGAGAGCTCAGCCTCCTGTGACATCGCGGGCTGTCTCCGCCCACACACCGCTCTGCCGGACTGTGAAAGGAGGCTGAGCGGTGTGGGAGGAGAGACGCTGGCCGCTCACAGTGCTCTCCTCCTGCAGCGCTTGGCCGGCTGTCACGCTTTATCTCCTCCCCGCTGGGACACAGAGCAGTGCCCAGCGGGGAGGAAAGAAAGCAGGGATGCGCCGATGTATCGGCAGAAAAATGGCACTTTCTGCATTTAGCCAAAAGTGCCATTTTCGGCCGATATGTTTCGGTGGCCGATATATTGGTGCATCCCTAATATATATGCTGTATAGATATATATCTATGTAGATATATATGGATATATATTTATTTTTTTAGCTCTCAAAGTTGATATGCACAACTGCATGCAGCTAGATTCAGTCTATAGAACTTTCTTTATTTATTTATTATTATTCTTTTTTCACTAATATTTGTTTTGGTTGTATTGTCTTATCATCATAATGTCTGTGTTGTGTTTGTCTGCTTTTTCAATAAATCTTTTGTGACAGAATTATATAAGGGAAACATTTACAATTGCACTGACCTGTTGCAAGCATTTAAAATTCCCTATTCACTGATTTAATTGTTAATGTATTCAGCATATGCTCTTTGTCATTAAAGTATCTTAGTTAAGGAGACAAAGCAAAGATGGGTGGAGTATACAGCTAAGGAAAATCCATGGGTTTGCGGTTATTAGCTTCAATCTTGATTTTATAGAATTTAGTGCAGCCAGATTAATCAAATGTCCCTCTGATTAGGAACCCAGCATCTTTTTATGCTAATGCGTTGTCTGGTCCCCCTCTTATAAACCAATGTTTGTGGGTGAGACTACAGTGGGTTTAAATTAGAAAATACACAATGGTCTGTATCTTAGCAGATTTCGATTTACCAGGTGCTGCATTGTTTTGCATTGCTGTGCTGGGCTTATTGAGGGTTGAGTTTAAGCTATATTGCTACTTGTATCTGTGTGAACTCACCTCCTTCTTCTGTTCTGATGGTCTTTGTCTCACTTTCTGAGCCTTCACCTTTGCCATTGAGCACATGAACTGTGATTGAGTAGTTGGTGAAAGGCTTTAGGCCATTGATGTTTGCATGGGTAACATTACCATACACAGTTATCTTATGTGTATGTCTCTCATTCTGAGCAGCATAACGGATCTGTGAAATAAAGTTCACAAGAAAGTAAAACAGACTGTAAAGGCTCCAAAATAATAACTTTGCATAGTATACAGCTATCCCGCAGTGCTCACCACTCTGTTGGTGTTGCCAGACGCAGGAGGGGACCCTGCTGCATATATTTTGGTCGTGCCAGAAGCTCAGGGACTTTTGGGGTACAGTAGCGGAGATCTGCCATAAGGTGACAGGGGTTCGTTTGGGGTCCGATATGGCTGAATACCTCCTGCATCTAGCTCCAAAGCCGCTTCGCAGATACAGGAGATCCCTCCTAGTGCACTTACTAACTGAGGTCACATTCTGGCTCCCACCAACTCTACAGGGCACGCAAGGGGGCTGTACCAGCAATGCACATATTGATGGAGCGTCAGCACAGCAGCCCACACTGGACCCCAGGCTGAGGATCCACTCCAGTTCTCATAAGATAGGGAGACTGGTTAGATTTTAAAAAAGAACAAATATTTTATTTTGGGGAGTGTTTATGTGAGAATTGTCTGTGAGTGTGCGAAATTGTGTCTGTGGTTGAGTGTATCTGTCAGTGTTTTTGAGGGTCACACTAGTACAGTGCATTAAATCGCACAGTCCCGTGAGATTAATTAACCTTACTATGCAATCACACCTAACATGCATTCTGGTGTGGGAGGTGTGTTGCATTGCCATTCATTTGAATGGCACCCCAAACGCACCTCCCACCCACAGTTCAATCGCCCGCACTTGAACGCGCGGTACGGCATTGCCATGTGTTCCAGTGCGGTGTGACTTGGGTCACTACTTAATGACCAAGGACAAATGTGGGCCCTGAGGTTACATAGGTTAAGAACCACTGTATAATAGTATCAGTGAGTCCACTGAGGTAACCACCAGAGGCGTAACTAGGAACCTCGGGGCCCCGGTGCAAGAAGACATGAAGGGCCCCCCAGCGGAGCTGCGGAGCTGCGGAGCACTGGTCTGCTGGGAGCTGTAGTCCCAGGAGGCAATGTCGGGGGCCTCGGCGGTTACAGGGCTGGACCCTCTTCTTCCTTTCCAGGCCCCTAGGGGTATAACAATGAAGGCATGCTGGGAGTTATAGTTCAACTACAACCAACATGCCTTCATTGTCCCTATACACCCCTCCACATCAACCAGGGAACTACAAGTCCCATAGTGCCCTCATTGTCCTTCTACACCCCCACATATAAATCACCCAGGGAACTACAAGTTTCAGCATACAAGCCCCCTGCAGTAGTTCACTGGGTGATATGTGAGAGGTGTACAGGGACAGTGAGTGCATGCTGGGACTTGTAGTCCCCTGTATGATAGAAGGCTGTTTTAATTAATTCCTCATGAAAATACTAGTAATACAATGGCATTATAGTGCAGTAACTTTCAAGTTCAACTATATTCTATTCTATGGGGGTGATTTAATAACCTAAACGCACTCACTGGGAGCGGGAGACTCCCAGAGCGCCCTGGAGAGTTAGGCTGCAGTTAGACCCTGTGAAAACATCAGCTCTGACAGGTAGACCATTATGACTGTTACTATGTTGACTATGTTCAATTCATACTGATTTTTAAAGGTCTACAATATTTTCATGTTTTTATGCATGCCTAATATTGTTAGTACGGATGCACCAATACCGGGAGCCCAAGTGAGACCTCAGAGCCCGGCACTAACCCTGCCCTGCATAGAGCTCGCACAACTACCTGAGAGCCACACAGCCCACCATTTACTCTGCACAGCCCAGCAGAGACTGCACAGCCACCCGAGAGTCCACACAGCTCACCACAAAACCTGCAAAGCCCACCTGTGAGTCTACACAGCCCACCATAGTACCTGCACAGCACACATGAGTGGCCACAAAGCCCACCATACAACTTGCACAGCTACCTAAGAGCCCATACAGTTCACCATAGAATGAAAGACTAAAGTGGGGGCCCAAACTACTTGTCCTGATATATAAAAAAATTATTTTAAGTAAAACCCTATTGGGACACGTCAAAAAGCACTTCTCATTGGTCAGCATGGCCAGTGCTGACAAATTAGTGCTTGCAATTTACAAGCAAAAGTCAAAATCAGGGCTGCGCTGTATGTGGTACAGATAGTAGATCCATACCTGTAGAGAGGACAGTTCACCGAAAGGTATTAGTACTGGGGAAGGGGGGGATGGGGAGAAGGGCCAAATTTGAACCGTTTTTTTAATTTTCCCAAATGCCTTAAGAAAAGTGAAGTTACCCTTAAATGCGCATTATGCGTGTTAGAGAACACTGCTTAATCAAATCAAGATGGCGGGAGTGGTGAGGTTGGTTTAATTTTTAATTTTTAAATTTTTTTTTACTTTAACACTTTTTTAATTGTATAATTTTTTACCTTTTTGCTTTTAATGTTATTGTTTAGTTTTTTTTAGTTTATTTTTATTCACTTAACTTTATTGCTATCATACAGAGGCTTAAGCCCAATATGATAGTGTTTGGGGTTGACAGGTTCTTTTTATAGAACCTGCCCTCCAACACAGAACATCAAGCTCACTACTGAGCTCAATCTTCTGTACAGTTTGCGACAGCTGAGTAGGTGAGAAGAGCTGAGAGGGCTGGAGGTAACAAGCCCAGCTGAAGCTAGCTGGCTTGTTAGGGCCTCTACAAGAACTCCCAGCCTCCTAAGAGAAGGTCCCCACCCTAAAACCAGACTGTGTCTGGTGGACTGGGGAGCATGCCTGTGTGGCAATCCGCCTGTGTGGCAAAACAGCAGCCTGTGTGGTAAGAGGCCAAAGGACAAGCCGGTGTGGCTAGTGTTTATATACAGCCGGTGTGGCAAGAAGTTTTTTGTGAAAGGACCTTCCTGAAATCGGTGAGGAAAATGTTTGTTTGACAGAAAATTATACTTTATGTTTGAAAAACCCTGTGAGGGAACACCTGTGTGGGCGTTTCTTTCTATTTTTTAGTTAATAAAAGTGGGCAAAGAAGCCCTTAAAGTGAAAAGCGGGTTGTCATTATGATTGAAAAAGAGTAAACACAGTCGATTGATAATAAATGGCTTCAGCCAAACACTACCCATAAGTGACAGGTTTTCGTGTTATTCATATTCTAAGAAAAATGGCCAGGAAATCATACATTCTGCCAGGGTATGTAAACTTATGAGCACAAGTGTACATTGCTCTCAAAGTGGCAGTCTGGCCTCTTCTCTTGGTTTGGATGCTGTAATATTATTAAGATGTCCATTCTGCCGAAATTCCTTTACCTTTTCCAAGCACTCCCGGTCCGCAACCCTGACAAATTCCTTCGTCAGTCCACCTCCGCGTTTATGAAATTTGTCTGGCA